CCTCTCCTCAGCCGGCCGCAGGCACCCCCTCGCCCCCTTCCCCCGCGCGCCGGAGGCCGATGGCGGCCAGCCTCGGGCGCGGTGCGGTGCGTGCGGCGACCTTACAACCAGGCAATGACAGTCGCTGGGATGGGTGTCTAGGGGCGGCGCGGCCCGCTCCACTGCCGTCGTGCTAGGCAGAATCAAACTTTAATCCAAGCTCCTCTCGCGCTCAACTCTGTTGTTTCTCTTCGCTCCTCGCTTTCCTACTCTCTCTATCTCTCTCCTACTCTTACCTTTTACCATCACCCCATTCTCTTCCCAGTCCGCCCGCACGAAGCACAAGGCACACGACCTCCCTAAATTATTCCTCTCAGCCGTCCGTGCGCGCGCGCGCGTGTGTGTGTGTGTGAGAGAGAGAGAGCGCGCGAGAAAGAGAGAAAGAAAGAGGAGGGTTGTAGGACGTCTGAGGAAGACTAAAACAGAGCGGACGAGAGAGTACCGCTGTGCTGGAGATAAAACGAGTGGAAGCATCAGTTTCATACGTTTATCAAATATTTACATATTTAAGCAAGAAGCCATCATTTTGGATGCGGGGCGAGAGACTGCGTGCGGATCGTGAATCGGAGTGGCAGATAACTTTTCGGACGGGCGCGCGGACATCTGTCAGGCTGCGAATGAGAAGGGTTGCGTCCCTTTCGTCGAGAATGTATTTTGTTATCTGTCGATCAGCGGCTCCCGTCCGTCCCCCGGGCCAGCCCGTGGTTCATGTGGGGGACGGGCGGGTATTAGAAATATTGGAGCGAATGCCGAAGGAGCTGCTCGTTTTCAGAAGTGGAATATTACGGGATTTGACAGTCGGAATCCAAAAGTGGATGTCGGCGGTACCCAAAACCATTCAGCCAGAACCCACAGAAAGACCCTCGATCGTTCTGTCGTAGATCTTTCTCCATTCTAAAAGGGGTACTTTTTTCATCAAAAAACCAAGGCACCGTAAAAGATTCTCGTGATTCAACGAAAGAAACATTACGAAATGTTTCGTAAGGAATATTTTAAGAAAACACGCGAAAATATATCGGTAGTGTTAGTTCACGAAGTTTTTTCGTAATGTTACGAATATATTTCGTAGATATTAATAAATGTCGGAGAACATTTCAAATTTGCAGGGTAGATTAATCTACATTACAGGAGACAATTTTCGTCGTTCCGAAACTGTTATGACATCCTAAGATGTCTCTTCAGTCAAGATCATCTTAAAAGGTTCATGTTTTTTTTTACCGTTAAGGTGGCCCTGAAGCTGTTGAAGCATGGTACCGGGGGAAAAGGGTGCACTCGCGAGTTGATATGCTGTGCGGAGTCTGTCGCGGGTCTGTCGGGTGGAGATACGACAGGAGGCGCCGTGACGCCTCTTGCGAGGGTGTCGCCGCATGCACGCGCGATAACGGGGGCGAGTCGAGGAGCTGAAGCCAGCAGAGGGGGAGCCGTTAGCAAGATGCTCGCGCTACGTCATCGTGCGCGCTTACAGAGAAAGAATGTTAAAACAAAAAAATCCCTCCCCGCGACATCTTTGCCGACGTGCGACGCGGCTTTTATGGGCCCCCAACTTGCTAATCTGAGCGCCAAATGTGGCACCAACTGCGCGCGGCCGTGGCGACTTCTGAGACCAGGCCGGCGTGGCGAGGTGGGCCTCAGGGACCTCTTAGGCGGGCAGGGCTGGCAGGCACTCTCGGACTGGTGCACGAGGCGAGGATCCGAGCCCCCCGGTGGTAACCCCCCCCCGACCCCTCTCTCTCTCTCTCCCTCTCATTCTCATACTCTGAGCCTCTGTCTCTCTCTCTCTCGCTCACTGCAGCCCAAGGGAGGCTGAGCGGGGGTCAGACTTGTCGGAAAGTTTAGATGAGGGAGCCTTGTAAATTAGGGTAGCGCAGCGGCGCGGCGGCCGGGTCGGGCCCGTTGGGAAGGCCGCGTGGGCCTGCGTGGCCGCGGCGCTCCAGTGGCTGATGCAGTCCGCGCCTCGCGACGCCGCGGGTGACCACGTGGTCGTACGACGGAGCTCATATGCCAGGACGCGTGTCAAACACCGGTGGTTGCCGCGGATTTTGAATGGACAAAAGGCGGCGATATCTCACTCGGCGGCCGCCTGGACGCCTTGAGGTAGGTAGGCTGCCCGCTCAACAGGCGTGACATGGCGTTGCCTACCCGTCGCTCGTAAGGCACTCGCTCATCTCCGCGAGAGCGCCGGGAGGTAGGCCACCGGCCCCACCGG